CGATTTCTACCCATTATATTATATTTTGTATATATTCAAGATGATAATCATTATAAAAAAATAAGATCACTCGAAAATTCTGCTCACAGCTTAAGTGTGAACTGTGCAAAGACCTTCATATGATGTTCTACAACATAAATGACATTCAGTCATACCTCAAATGTGAATTTTGAAAATGTCATTTCATTTTGGGCTGTGTTTTTAAAGCCCAACTATCACAAGAATGTGAGATTATGAGTCTGATGAATCAGGCAGCCATTGTAGTCCTTATGTTGGAACTTAGATTACCTATTTCATAAATTGCTTTAAAAAATTATTAGAAATCATTAGACATTCCAGAGGGAACCAACAAAAATTAGCCTTCCAGGCCCTACAAACTGACGTCAAGTACAGGAAAGCAGTTTTAATTTTTTTCATTAGTCACAGAGAAATTACATGCTTCAGCTTTAAATCGAAATATCTTAATAAAAGTGACTTAAATGGTCCCATAGTGCACTCTGGTGGCTTTGTCGTCATTCATGAGTGTATTAGCTTGGTCTGATGTATAAAAAGCAAAGCACAATTTGTTTTCTCTCACAGTTCACTGCATTAACATTAGTCTGTTTAGATCTGTTACTGGTCTCTTGGTCTGTCTTTGCCATGTAAGTAAGTGAAGCATCCATTATTCCTCCCTCAGTGGCTTCAACTCATGAGCTCCTCACTGGCCTGACAATTACCATGAATTATCTTCACTTCCAGACAATCAATTAAGAGAATTATTGAACTCCTCCGAAACCTTATCGGCTCTGCCCAGCAGGGCAGCACAGTGAAGATAGATCACAGATTGTGAAACCTCTAAAGACTGACTCTCTATCACCTGAGAATTTGCTTTGCGTACTACCACATGGGCCTGCAGTCGCTCTGTCACAATGGTTAGGGAAAGGCTGGCCTAAACATCCTTAAACTAAAGCTTTATGCAATAAACTAAAGTGGACTGCAGGTCCTCTGCCAATAACTAAAGCCAAGCTAATGGAGGGAAATTATATCTATTATACAATTTCCCCAGTAATTACACAGCATTTTTAATATAGTAGCTTACATTAACTGGATTAGACGCAGACAAAACAAAATTAAATAATCTGTACAAAGTCACAAAAACAGGTTAGCTGTGTCTTGGAATAATCTGATATTCAGTCAAACACACACACACACACACACACACACACACACACTCGTGTGCGCCATCAGGCTTCATCCAGCAACCCAAAAATGATCATTTTCTGCCATCTAGTGTTACACATAAATCAATCGGGGTGAATAATTTGTGATACCATATTGCCCTCTTATGGATGTTCTTAAACCTAACAATGGACATAGACATTAACTCTTTTATCGTCTTGTCTAGTCTCGTCATCAAAGTTACTAACAGACTTAAATGGATAAACAACTCACACTGGATTTATTATCTGCAAAAACAAGCGAGACGAAACCCAAAAGTACTCACCAAATGCAAGATTTTTATAGATAAAACGAAGCATGGACATCCAATCGCGTCTTTTCCGTTCCTTCATTCACGTCCCATCAATGATCAGTACGCATCAAGGCTTAATGTGAAACAGGTGTCGGCATTTTTTAAGGGACTTTTATTTTGCATTAAATATGAACGTCTCGTCCAAAACCAGGAAGGAATGCATATGAATAGATAAAAAGCTATGTAGGTTAAAAGTGTACAGATAGATGATTTTCCTTCATGCCATCTATCATCTCTGAATTATTCTGACAACCTAACAGTAAACATTTTATCATAACAAAGTAAAAATAGATTTAAATCACCTAAATAAAATAAATGCAATGCAATATAATCAATAAAATAATAGAAATGCAATGAATAATAAACATATATTGAACCATATTTAATGAACAAATACATCATTTATTTTGTACTAGTTTAATTTACAGTTAAATTCGAATGATCCATTCTCATGCAAATCAAGGAATACGTAAGGACAGATAATTAAGCGAAACAAATACCAACATAAAAGTATATATTTTGGACAATATTATAGGAATCAGACATTTTATAAAAATAACAACAAAATATATTTAAAAAATAAATACATAAATATTAAACTATTTAAAATAAATAATGTAATAAATTAATTTAAACAGATTTATGTATTATTTAACTATTATCTGTTGCCCCATCCTGCCATCCAGCATCTATTAATTATTCTGACAATAGAAAACATGTTATTATAACAAAATGAATATTAACAATAAAACAGATTTAAATTATCAAATTAAAATAAATGCAATGCAATAATAAATAAATGGCTAATAACAATGTAACACATAATCACACTATATTTAATAAACAACTATGTAACTTATTTTGCATTAGTTTAATTTACAGTTCATGTGAATGATCCACTGTCATGCAAATCCAGGAATATAGGCACAGATAACACATATGAAAGCAATGCAGTTACAAATACACACAAATGCTTTTGCAAACATAAAGTATATATCTTGGACAATATTATAGGAATCAGACATTTAAGTCAAATAAAATATATTTAAAATAAATATATAAATACTAAATTATTCGAAATAAAAAAAAATGAATAAAGTAATTTTAAAATATGTATTTCTTTATTAGTTTATTATTCTCTGTTGCACCATCCTGCCATTCAGCATCTATTAATTATTCTGACAACATAAAAGAAACATTTTATTATAACAAGATGAATATGAACAATAAAATAGACTGAAATTATCCAAATAAAATAAATGCCATAATACATAAAACGTATAATAAAATGCAATAAATAATAAACATATTGCACTATATTTAATAAACAACGATGTAACTTATTATGTTTTAATTTACAATACAACACATCTTAAATCAATGCAGTTACGATACACTCTCTCACACGAAAAAAACTTTAATAATAATAATAATAATTTAGGAGTCAGACAATAATATAGGAATCAGACATTTTATAATAATAACAGCAATAAATTATATTTAAAATAAATTTATAAATACCAATTTAATAAATACATTTAAATATATATATTTATTTCTATGTTATTTTAATATTCCCTGCTGCACCATATTTCAAACTGTTTCAATTCCATTTCAATTCAATTCAAATCCCCTCATTCTTGGAGAGCAGTGTGTACTTGTCTTTCTCTGCGCTGCAGCATCATGTAGTTCAGGCTCTAGTGTGTAGAATGAGACGGAGGGGAGGGGCGGGGTTTGTTCCGTGCACCAGCAGCTGAGCCCAGGACGCGCGCACTCTGCTGCTCGTTCTTTGTCCTCCATTGCAGCTGGTGTTCGCAGCTCCGCCGCACAGCGCAGGCCCGAAGTAGCGCAGCCGCTCTGAGGTTAGTGCCCTACCGCGCAATCTCCAGCCATTTCAGACCCGGCGCAGCCGCACCAAAGAACCCGGCAGCGTTTGCCTTTCACACACTCGGATGCAGATCGCGACGATGCGAAACAGAACTTGGCATGATATCGAGCGCATTTGACAGGATGGCAATTATTATTTACGTTACCCCGCTCAAATTGGGGCAAAAAAAATCATGGCGCAGGCCTTTGGCCTACTGAATTTAGATGTGCAATCGAATCGCTACTGTTTTGTCCAGATGCTAAATGGGATTTCAAGGCTTGATAGCTTGTGTTTATATTCTTGTTCGGGGAATCAAATTTGATTGCGTGTTTAACCTCTCGTAATGCGTAATACCTCTTTATATTGGTTTCTTGTCTGGTTATTGAATAATACATAACCTTAATATCATATTAGCACAGCAGTGTTATCGACTGTTTATATCGCTTTATAATCGACAACGGTGCCGGCAAATTTGTATCTAAAAGATTATTTCAGATGTTTTGCACCTTATCTGAATGTTTACTGTTGTGTTTGAAATAACAGTTTGAATTGCGTTAGTGTTTAATATTTCACTTACAAACGGTCCGCTCTCTTTACACGTATTATTCACAGTTTGAAAATAACCGCCATTTATTTGTTTGTTATTGATGCTGGACTTAACTAACGTTAGTCTATATCGATTCAGTTATTTCGGAGGTTCAAACCTACCTTTTTTAATGACTCTTTGTGCATGTTGATGCATGTTGAAATGTCTTTTCGTGTTTGTGAACGTAGTTCGTGACTTGGTCAAATCAAATGTAACGTTAGCGTTTTCCAGAGCTTCAGTGTCAGGCCATTGAATTGAACGGAACGATACTGTAGCTGCGAGCTGGTTTATTTATCTATGTGGACCGTTCATAGCACCTACGTCATCCTAAAATATTCACCCATACGTTTTTATTTTGGTTCCATATTTTTTTTTAATCCAAAACGTTTAGTAAATGTAATCCACACTGCTTGCTGTCAGAGACATGTCATTACAGTGTCATATTATTCAATAAAAAACGTAACTCAAAAAGATTTTCAATCTGTGTCATTTAGTTTGTCATTGATACAGCTTTACATTCTTGCTGAAATTTAATATAGGTGTATTTTCATATGATTGCACTTTTCCAAAATATAATACGCACAGTAAATGTATATGCTGTTACTAATATTGAATATTTATATATTCTTTTGGATAAATACTGAAAGCAGTCAGACTTACAGACTCCAGCCAAACCTCGGTAAAACATTATTAATGTAAAATACATATTAATCGTATGAACAAATTGTATTGATTATTTGTAACGATTAGTGCCCCCTACTGGAGAGATGTATAAAGCAACAATAATAGATGCAATACTTTATGAATGCTTATTGTGAATAGAAAGGAACTGACCCTTTTTCTCTACACACTAAATGTAAACTACTTAAGATAAATAGCGTGTACTTTTACACTTAGTTTAAATAGCTACTGCTGAAAGAATTTTGGCTGATTCAGGCCACATTTGACATTGAGATCACACTCAGTGGCCCAGTTTACCTGGATTCACAATAAATTAAATGTTTTGTGATGCTGTTTCAATATAAAAGCACATCTGACAATACTATATTAATGGAATGTCTTGTTACACTGATGCACAATATATGCACTAATAAAATGTGAGTTTGGTAGTCGTCATAAGACATAAGATATGGTCCCTCACATTTTTTAATGTGTTTTAAATGCATATGCAAATGAAAATACATGTATTTGACCCCCCTCAAAATAATTGGTGCATGACAGTCACCTCATCTGTGAATCTACATGAAGCAGTTACTTGTAGAACGTGTGCTAATATATTGTATGTGTGTGTCTCAGTGTGTTTGAGAGAAACTGTATTGGGTGATGGAAGACCACATGGTGCATCAGACAGAGCACATGACCACTATCGAGGCCCACGCCGTCACTCAGCAGGTCGGGCAGGTGCACGTTGCCACGTACACGGAGCATGGCATGCTGAGCGCTGACGAGGATTCACCCTCCTCGCCTGATGATGACGCTTACGATGACTCCGATATCCTCAACTCGACTGGAACCGATGAGGTCACCGCACATCTGGCTGCTGCAGGTAGGTTCCAGCACATTGTTGTATTCTGACTTGTCGTTATCAGACAAACCACTAGATGGCACACTTAAACCATAAATTGTCAACCACCTTAAAGCTCAAAATAGAGCAATTGCCAAGCTCATGGGTTAAATTCCCATGGAATACACAAACGGATACAATGCATATCCTGAATGATATAGAACGTAAAAAAAAAACAACTGATTTTATTCCCCTAAATATTTTCAGGGCCTGTTGGCATGGCAGCAGCTGCAGCTGTGGCAACAGGGAAGAAACGGAAACGACCGCACATCTTTGAATCAAACCCTTCAATCCGTAAAAGACAGCAGACTCGCTTGCTTAGGTGAACCATATTCTCAGTATTGTTCATTGTATTGTAATGTAATGGTAGATAGATAGATAGACAGAAAGAAAGAACGAAAATGTACTGTTACCAGTGTTGTTTATTTTAGTGTTTTTATTATACTATTGTAGTATTAATTAAAATTTGCATTGGCTTTTATTTATATATTTGCATTTTTTTTTTTTTTTTAGTTTAATTTTAGTAATTTTAAGTGCTTTTTATTAATTTTTTTTTATATTTATGTTTATTTTTAGATTTAGTAATTTTAGTACTTCAACTTGAACTTACTTGAACTGATAAATATTATAATAATATAAATATTAAATATTGTATTACTATATGTATACATGTGTACTCTTACAGTGCTGTTTTAGTATTATTTATTCTGTTACAATATTTAGTAATATTTTGAATTAGCCTTTGTTTATATTTAAAAATGAATTTTTATTTTAGTAAAAAAATTTTATATTAGTCATTTGTTATTTTTACACATTTTTTTTAAATATGGTTTAGTTATTTTCTATTTATTTTTATTTCAGTTTTACTAATTATAGTACTTTTAACTTTATTTCAGTTAGTTTCCAAGGGTTAAAAAAAAATAAATTTATTTTATTTTAGCATTTTTCCAATTATGCCAATTCCAATTAAATTTTATTTAACCGTTCACAATGTCTCTTACTATGTCTGCAGGAAGCTGAGAGCGACT